CAATTGTTAGCCTGTGATCACTCAGTCTTAGCTTTGTGAAGTGGATACGGTGATTTTCAGTGTTCTAGGTATGGTTCAAACTTGATTTCTGATTTAAATTTTCTGTATGTCCTAAGTTTGTTCCTTGACTTTAATGTATTCGGTTTATCTTGAACAGATGAGTGGAACATGTCTGTAATTTCCTATTGGAGGTCCTTCAGTGCAGAGGAAGAAGTTGGAAAATAATTACTTTTCTTGATGTTAAACTTATCTAAGAGACAACTGAGCTTATAGTACCATCCAATTTTGTGTTTGGCAATCTTTATTGATTCATTAAAAGCATGTTTTAAAATGGTATTTGGAGATTGTAAAATATGTCAGTAGAATTGAACAATGGATTTAAATTCTCTGAATAGTGAGGGAAACAAACCAAGCTCTGCTCTGCATGCCCAGTTATACGTTTGCGGAGAAACTACCACTTTATGTTTACAGAATTTCGTTTGTAATTTTTCAGGAGGGAAAGTATCTATATGTCCCAGCAGAAAAGAGTCAATTCCCCATATTTCACTGTTATACAGAACAACAGGTTCAACAATTGCCTTGAAAATTTTGCAGCAGACAGTTGGATCTAAAGTATCTGCAAACAAGTTAGAAGAGAGAACATAGTGTATGCTCTTTGACTCTTTTTACAAGGGATTCCACACAATGTTTAAATTTAGAATTTTGATGAAACGTAACACCTAAGTAATTGTATCTGTCTAAGACATTAATATTCTGCCCCGCCACTGACAATTTCAATATTGGATAGTGGGTTTTTGTGACATATATAACTACATTAGTGTTTTCAATGTTGATAGTTAATTTATTGTCATTGCAGTAATTTGAGAGATTATTGAGAAGCTCTTGGAGTTTGGCTGGTGAATCAGACAGAAGGACCAGATCATCGGCAAACAGTAAATGGCATATATTGAGACCAGCTGGTGTTAGGCCATTGTTTAAACAATGTTGGGGATACTATACATCCTTGCCTATATTTGATTTAAATGGACTCGACATTCCCTCGCTTGTTTTAACGTTATAAAGGACATTGTTATACCGGTATAAGGATGTTATAACACGAAGTACACTAAACGCCAAATGAAACGTTACCCTTCTTTTTTAATGACGGGGGTACCTATCCACTTCTTGATCTTTCTACGGTGACCCCAGTCTGTCTGAAGCCCTGAATAAGTCTTATATCCGAGATACGGTGGCATCCGAGGGCGTTGGCAACCGCATTGTATGTCGACAACATCCCAATGGCTCTTTCTCTCTCTTCAGCTTTTAATCGTGGCATATATCTCGTACTTGTGTATCATATCATCTTTTCTAGGTTCTCTTCATACCCTATAGAATCATTCTACGTGTGAAATGGATGCAAATACTGCTTGAATATTGCTGCGTTTTGGCGACTGATATTGCTATGTGTAAACAGAAAATGAAAAAATGTTACTTTGCAAGCAAAAATGTTAACAAAGATCATTGTAGATGTTCCTAAACATTTTCACATTATCAAAGACACGTTTTACTTGATTTCACTAATGCAAATAAACAGAAAATGTTTTAAAAGATTAAATCATAGGAATGATTATTTTACAATTTTACACACTCTACAACAGTTGTTTCTTGTTTTAATCGTTGAAAAATGGTGACTTTAAATTGTTTATCTTCCCAAAACAGAATCTTATTTCAACCTTGCTTTTGGACATCTAAATCACTGTTATTGGTTTATATCGGCATGGACGAAAATAGGACAATTTATCTCTTCTGAAAAAGATGCATTTCACCTAAATATGAATTCATTTGAGAATGTTTTTTCGTGATTTGCATAAAGCTGTGTTGTTAAGCTTTCTTGTAAACTAATACTTTCTATCATATCTTTGATAGTTTTTAAGTAATTCATAAAGGTAGGAGGGTAACGTTTCTTTTGGCGTTTAGTGTATGTTACTAGCTAGATATACCCATTTCATGAAGTTTTGAGGTAAGTATCATGTTCGGATAACTGATTTTTTGTGGGTGCAAATTACGTCCCCTTGCAGGCAGAATATTTCATAAAGTCCATACATAGAATATTAAATTAACCCCATGCATAGATCAACTCCTACTACCTCAAACACAAATACCTTACGTTCCACAAAATCAGATGTTTCTATATACGTGTGATCATATTACTGGGTACAAAAAATATACTGTTCCAGCACCTAAGTGAATGAAACTAGACGAATTATTATTTAGACATTACATGACAGAGAAATCATTAAGTTTGTGTGATTCTTTTTCGTGAATATCATTCGTAAGGAATATAACATCTCACTTAATATGCTCAGTTCAAAATTGTATCAGATATAATGATAAGCTTGTACGTCCTTCCTGTAGTGTTAGCCCATAGCATAGAATTGATCTTCAGTAACCCATGCTTGTTGTAAGAGGCGACTAACGGGATCGAGTGGTCGGACTCGCTGACTTGGTTGACACATGTCATCGTATCCCAATTGCGTAGATCGATGCTCATGCTGTTGATCACTGGGTTGTCTGGTCCAACTCGATTATTTACAGACCGCCTCCATATAGCTGGAATATTGCTGAGTGCAGCTTTAAACAACAAAACAGCCATCTTATCTTAAGTATTTGTTGATCAAACTTTTATTTCTTCCTTCCTGTTCTTCCTTCCTGTTTCTGGTGAACTGATACTGAAAAATACAGAACAGTCTTGCTTGATTTTTTCACAAAACTAAATGTATCCAATGGCAATGAGCATATTAACATGGAGAAAATGAACAATGTTTAACAACTATTTTATGGCGTTATATGTTATTGGACATCGTAGATATGACAGATTAACCAAACATGATTTTTTTCATAAAACTAAATGTATCCAATGGCAATGAGCATATTAACATGGAGAAAATGAACAATGTTTAACAACTATTTTATGGCGTTATATGTTATTGGACATCGTAGATATGACAGATTAACCAATCATGTCCACTATCTTAAACGAGCATAGGGTCACAAGTGATATAACCCAAGACCAGCATCTCTTATTGAGCTGGACAGATAGTGAGTGAGTGAGTGAGTGAGTGAGTGAGTTTAGTTTTACGTGGCACTCAGCAATATTCCAGCTATATGGCGGCGGTCTGTAAATAATCAAGACTGGACCAGACAATCCAGTGATCAACAGCATGAGCGTGGGCAGATAGAGTTACGCTAACAGATGCCTGCTGCAATGAATTTATCTGTATTTACGGCAATGTTTATATTCTTCGTCGGTCAAATCACGTGCATGCTACGTACACATTCATGGCATACAAGGGGGTAAACGCAGTAGTTGGAACAGTGAAACAAATGCACGTGCGGTACATGATGAGCGTTAACTTAGACCAACCCAACTTGTTCTCGGTGTTTTATTTAATGTGCATACACCCTTGTAATACAAACCAATAATAGAGATTTGAAACTATGATCGTTTGTTAAACAACTTTTATCCTAGGTTGAATAAAATTCTGAGATTTTAATGCTCAATAGGCAAGGTAAAGTTATGAGGATTCGCAATATTAATTTCACTTTATTCGTGTTACTTTTTTGTTTAAAGTGATATTAATCGGTACGTTTTCACTGCAAACAGACTATAGTCAGCTATTACATAATATTTATCATCAAGCTTATCAAACTATATGATGTAACTCGAGGTTCTCAGAAACAACTTTATCGCCAGTTTAATCAGCAAACGTGATTATCTGAGATAGCCATAGGTATGCAATACGAACGTCGGACAGTCACAAATCATTCTGTGGCTGTCTAATTTTGTATATTCACCCAGGTAAGAAACCTTAATGTCTTCCACTTTGCTGTTATAGTGAATGTATCTTAATCATATGTTACTACCCTTGGCACTACCTTCAGGTTTATGTACATCCAGTCCAGGGGCGGGTGTATGTGTGTGTGTGTGTGTGTGGGGCGGAGATGCACATACATCATGCAATCCCTAGGTTAGGGTTGAATGCAACAGTTACTGCTGTTTTGAAAACGCGTAATAGCCATTCGGGTAATGTATTAGATAGAGTGGGTGGTGTGTGATACAAGATACAGAGTATGTATTGCGCAAACGTTCTATATAGTTCTAACACTGACACTTATACGTAGATGTATAATACTCAATGACATGTAAAAACTGCTGTATCAGATTGTGTCCCTTGATATTTATCGGGATAATGTATCTTGTGTATTTCTTTAATACCATTGCTGTTCCTGGTATATATGTACTTCTGTAAATGATTAGTGTAAAACCTGACAGTATATATTCTAGAAAAGACAAATTATGTATCATGACTCTCTTGTTGACAAATAATCTCACGTTTATTTGCCTAGGTGTTGCAATTGTGGTTTTGCATGGGTTGGTATTGGTGCCAAGCGAGCTGATTCCCCAATACTCGTGTTTTAATAAACATGAAGTGAAGTATAAGTAACTAAACTCTAAGAGCACTTGTCCGGGGAGATATGTTATCTCCTTATGACCCTAGTCCGATATAGAGAGGCGTGGTCTCTGAAATAGGGCTGGGACGGGTCCAAATTTTCTACCCTGGTTCCCCACCCTCTATTACCCTACCCTACCGGGATACCCGTTATGTTACTTCCTGATGTCAAATTTGTAAGAAATGGCAATATATTCTTCAGCTCGGAGGCTGAGGTTTTCAAAATCTTAACCATGTATTTTATTCAAAAGATGAAGACAATGCAGCCTTTAAATCATGTAATAATAACATATTACATTGTGACATCTATTAGTCACACATGCGCGGATCCAGAGGGGGGGGTGGTGGGTGCGCACCCCCCAAGAGTGTTCCAAATGTACTATATGTTTTATGCCCAGGGTTCCGAGGATTGGGGTGCACCCCCAAACGAAAATCCTGTATCCGCCCCTGGTCACATGATCATGACGGGTGACTCATTTTACCCACCCGTCCCGGGTATCCGGGTTACCCGTTCCAGCCCTACTCTGAAAATATTTGAATCTGACAGAAACAAACAACTTTCTTCAAATTGCTAAGGAGCTCAAGTGAGCTGCGAGATTCAAAGGAAAATCTAAAAACTCATGTATGGCTTTTAAATTACCGAGAGAGTTTGACTTAACAGGAAATATTTTGGTTCAGGGAACGTGAATCCGTATACCGCCTGAATCACTACATGTACTGTAACCAACTTGCTGTGAACTGTGTTGTGTAATATCACCACATTGTTGACAGCGTGTATGTCAACATGTTATCAAACCTTTACCTTTACTCCAGGACAGTTTGACGACGCGGGGCACTTGCCAACTGAGTTCGCCATGAAGAGATTGTATCAGTCAGTGAGGGAGGAATACCCTGCCCCTACCCCCGGGAACGTCACAGGTAGGTGTGGCATTGTATGTGCGGGGCTGCCCTGTACAAAGTGTTCATTATTGGTTGTCACCTCCGTTGGGTGGGTAGCCACTGGGTACATGCCATTTTCTCTTTTCATGGCTGGTATATATATTTTTTCTTTTGTGATAGAGAGTAGTTGAGCGTGAGTGCACAGCCATGTCGTATGACTGGGCTTATCTGTGTCAGGCGTTATAATAATAATAAACGGCGTTACATGAATGCATGTGCAGTCTTGTATCAAGGCTTTACTGCAGGAAATAACCTAGTCTGTCTCAAGACCCTGAACCATTCTAGCTAGTTTCTTCCGTTCAGTCTTTAGTTTCATGCTATATTTTCCACAGGTTTCGGATCTCCCTTTTTACGGAACCCCTTTTCAATTTACATGGTTTTTATATATTTTTCAAACAGTGTTATGTATTTCCTGACACTAAGCGTACAGTTAGTCCAAACATATTACTGCTGTTCTTGTACATTGATGTGGAGCAAGTGTACAGCGACAGTCACAACACATCTCATTTATGGAATCACATTTGAGTGAGTAAGTGAGTATGGTTTTACGCCGCTCTTAGTAATATTCCAGCAATTTCACGGCGGGGACACCACAAATGGGCTTCACACAATCACCCATGTTGGGAATCGAACCCGGGTTTTCGGCGTGACGAGCGGACGCTTTAACCACTGGGCTACCCCGCCGCCCCTGTATAACATTTTAAGATGATGATGTTGTAGATGATCGTTTATTGGAAACGTACGCAAGCCTGATCTATTTGTTACATCCACAATATGGAGGAACATTCGGAACACACCAACCGAGAAAATATGCAGCTTGTACCCCACCGTCACCTTATTAAAAAGTGACCACTTTCTCGTCACGTCCTCTTGGAGTGGAATGTGCTGCCCGAATCCTTGATACCTGTGTGATTTGCACCTGTAAGTACAAACGTCCTACAGTTCGATGGTGTCCCAAACAGAGGAGAACCCGTTATATGTCCCATAAATTCTGTTATCACCATGACCTGGACCACTGTGACCTAGACCACCTGATACCATAACATGTCACGTGATCTGGATGTCAGATGACCCAGAGACGAACGCGACCTTTCATATATAGTTTTATTATCATCATCGATTTTGGGGATCTGACGAATTCATGTAGAAAAAACATGTGCCCACATGACCCCACCGGGAGCTCGGGTCAGACAGGGTCTGTTGTGATCATCCAGATGGGATAATCCAAAGGTTTGTGTACGATAACAGCGTGACCCCTGACGGCTTGTTATGACCCCTGACAGCATGTTATGACATTCTATCAGAATGACGCCTATCGCACGGAGGTATAAACCATTGTGTGGGCGAATGATACGTTACAACGCTGTTGTACGTTACCTAACTTCTAGTTTATCAATATGGTCTCTAAATAACCAAGTTCGGTACAAGCACACCAGTGAATGATAACAGGAGAGACTTTAATTGTAAAAGAAATAACACAGTCAGTTTCAATAGCAGCTGAAAATGAAACAAACAAGGTGATGTATTTCATACGGGTATCGGGTTGTGTCTTGGACCCAAATTTTGCATTGTATCGGAGATTGTTTTCAGCATACTAACGTTTTTGCCCCAAATCAATTTTCGAACGTATTGTTTCTTTTGCCTGCTTCTTTAGGATATACTACCCTCCTCAGACAAGCACGGTGTCTCGTGTAACTGACCACTGTATTGGTCAGTAATAACGTCACATGTTGGATAACTTTTGTGGAACGCGTGCCCGCGTGCGTGGATGTGTGTATCTATGCAGGGGTGAAGGAAGATCCGAGGAATCTAACGTTGTACCAGTTCCCGGGAATCTGACGTTCCTGACAAAGAACACCACTCTGACGTGTCATCAGTCAGAATTGCATGAGTCTCACGAAACTGATGCCGACGTGAATAAATCAGCCTGATGGGCTCACCCCTCCAGCACTCGAACTCGGATAATTCCCCTATCTATATTTATAATCTGGATTAATCGCTCTCATACCTTGAGAAAAACAAACTTCCAGATTGAGAATTTCCGGCAACATAACACAATGTGTAGATGCAAACAGGGCGTGGCCAGTTTTTGTAGCCAAAACCATGAAGCATGCGAGTGAGTGAGTTTAGTTTTACGCCGCACTCGGCAATATTCCAGCTATATGGCGGCGGTCTGTAAATAATCGAGTCTGGACCAGACAAGCCACTGATCAACAGCATGAGCATCGATCTGCGCAATTGGGAACCGATGACATGTGTCAACTAAGTCAGCGAGCCTGACCACCCGATCCCGTTAGTCGCCTCTTACGGCAAGCTTAGTCGCCTTTTGCGGCAAGCATGGGTTGCTGAAGACCTAATCTACCCCGGATCTTCACGGGTCCATGAAGCATGTATGACCACTGATCACGTAGGACCGTTAAGCACGTGGTGGGCAGCTGCACCACACGTATGCCATCTAGACTGGTCATGGGAAATGCAGGTCTGACTGATAACCAGAGTGGGGTGGGTGGGCTACAGGCTAATGTTTAACACTTTCGTTCGTCACGCCGAAGATCCGGATCACGAACAGTATCCCATATTGCCATGCAACTGGAGCTCAGCTTTAATGAAGGTAAGTGCACAATTCAAGCACACCAGTTGCCTCCCCTGTTTACGTAACAATGTGAAGTGTTGGATAATATATGTTATGGAATATATCTGTCATCAAGCCACGCCCTGAATGTTGTAGGTACAATCCCCGACTGGTTAGATGGTAGCTTGTACAGAAATGGCCCTGGTCTGTTCGAGGTGGGGAATACTAAGTACAACCATTGGTTTGATGGCATGGCTGTCCTCCAACGCTTCCACGTGACCAAACAGGAAGTGACGTACCAGCGTCGGTTCCTCCAGAGTGAGACGTACAAGAAAAACATGGAGGCAAAACGGATCGCGGTGACCGAGTTCGCGACTACCGCCTTCCCGGATCCAACTAAAGGATCTATTGCGAGGTGAACCCCTATTTCAAACATACATTCATAGTTAAAGGAAGTTATAGAACCATACAAATAGGCAAAGAGACCTAAACTTACTCGTGACTTTAAAAGGGTCGCAGAAGAATGTCCTATTTTGCACATATCACCAAGGTAAAACTATAGCTAGGTCCCCAACAACCCATGACTGTCGTGTAAGGCGACTGTGTGTCCGTCACACAGCTGGAATACTGTTTAGTGCGGCGTAAACCAACAAATAAAATAACATCATTATTACTAGGGCAAAGATTACAGTAAGGTATTTGCTACAGCGTAACACGTCACAATATAACATAAAAAACATAACATAAACATATAGCATGAAAATCCAATTAGGTCCAGACAAAATGCTTAATTTGAGGCTATCACTCTAGACTTGTCAGATCATTCTGCAATTGAATTTTACCCTGTGTTGTATGTATTGTCTAGGATCTGGCAGAGTACATGCACGAAAAGGTGTTCTTTTCTTTATGTGTTGTTCAAGAGCGGTGTCGTTCGTAACGGAGACGGCAGAGCCGACGGACAACACCAACGTGAACATCAACGTTCTTGGGGAACAGATGTACACGTGCTCGGAGTCGAACATGCTGCTTCGTATAAATCCCCAGACGTTGGAGACCGAAACCAGGGTGAGTCACAGTGTGTACTGAGTATAAGATGCAAACATGTTGGATGCATACAGTTGAACTGATTCTCAGGTTTGGTGACTTTGTTGATGGTGTCCTTGTACCCGACGTCGTGGTCCAATGGACCTCATGATCATATTGCCGTCTTCGGTATTATCCTACAGGTAGTGCTGACTGATCACATTCCCATCAACCTTAGTTTCATGGGAATTTCACTACACAGCAATTCCCTATGCTCGTGATAATGCCTTCTGTATTATCCTACAGGTAGTACTGACTGATGACATTCCCATCAACCTTAGTTTCATGGGAATTTCACTACACAGCAATTCCCTATGCTCGTGATAATGCCTTCTGTATTATCCTACAGGTGGTGCTGACTGATGACATTCCCATCAACCTTAGTTTCATGGGAATTTCACTACACAGCAATACCCTATGCTCGTGATAATGCCTTCTGTATTATCCTACAGGTAGTGCTGACTGATCACATTCCCATCAACCTTAGTTTCATGGGAATTTCACTACACAGCAATACCCTATGATCGTGATAATGCCTTCTGTATTATCCTACAGGTAGTGCTGAATGATGACATTCCCATCAACCTTAGTTTCATGGGAATTTCACTACACAGCAATACCCTATGTTCGTGATAATGCCTTCTGTATTATCCTACAGGTAGTACTGACTGATGACATTCCCATCAACCTTAGTTTCATGGGAATTTCACTACACAGCAATACCCTATGATCGTGATAATGCCTTCTGTATTATCCTACAGGTAGGCCTGACTGATCACATTCCCATCAACCTTAGTTTCATGGGAATTTCACTACACAGCAATAATGCCTATGATCGTGATAATGCCTCAACTGTATTTCATCCTACCAGGTAGTACTGACTGATGACATTCCCATCAACCTTAGTTTCATGGGAATTTCACTTACACAGCAATGATCCCTATGATCGTGATAATGCCTTCTGTATTATCCTACAGGTAGGCCTGACTGATCACATTCCCATCAACCTTAGTTTCATGGGAATTTCACTACACAGCAATACCCTATGATCGTGATAATGCCTTCTGTATTATCCTACAGGTAGTACTGACTGATCACATTCCCATCAACCTTAGTTTCACTACACAGCAATACCCTATGATCGTGATAATGCCTTCTGTATTATCCTACAGGTAGTACTGACTGATCATATCCCCATCAACATGACGGCTGCTCACTCCCACCGGGATCCCGGGGGTGCACTGCACAGTATTGGCTACCAGTTTGGAAAGGGGGCGCCCAAATATTGCCTCATACGAACGCCAACAGTCTACAGTACGTCAGAACTACGTGTAGAGAGTATGGCTGAGTAGAGAATACTCCCTGATTTGATCAGATTTTAAATACAGCATAAACATTGTCTCTTAATGAAGCAAATGGTTGTAATATCAGTCAAGTGACCTTTACAAATAGTACGAGAATATGATACACACTCTGGCATTTGTATCAGCTTATGTCAGCCCCACAGTCACTGTTAGATAATGGCTTCGTTGTGTACGTGTACATTCTATTATTATATTTCATTACATTACTACTTTAAGGAATCTCGATATTAAAACTGACAACATTCATTTGTTGTTTCAGATGATCAGGGAGGCTACTCTCAGTCCAAATTGGTGGCATCTGTGACGGCGGAACACTCTATGCACCCGTCATACTTCCACAGCTTCGGGATGACCGACAACTACTATGTGTTTGTAGAACAACCGATGTTGATCAATGTGTGGAAGATTTTGGCAGCCATGGTGAAGAAGAACCACATGCTACAGTGCATAAAGTGGAATCCAGAACACACCGGCAATCTGGTACTGTCTATATATACTTTATTTGGGAGCACTGGCAACCTGGTACTGTAGTAATACTTCATGTAGGGAACACTGGCAACCTTGTACTGTAGTAATACTTCATGTAGGGAACACTGGCAACCTGGTACTGTCTAGATATACTTCATGTAGGGGAACACTGACAACCTGATACTGTCTATATATATACTTCATGTAGGGAACACTGGCAACCTGATACTGTAGTAATACTTCATGTAGGGGAACACTGGCAACCTGATACTGTAGTAATACTTCATGTAGGGGAACACTGGCAACCTGATACTGTAGTAATACTTCATGTAGGGGAACACTGGCAACCTGATACTGTAGTAATACTTCATGTAGGGGAACACTGGCAACCTGATACTGTAGTAATACTTCATGTAGGGGAACACTGGCAACCTGATACTGTAGTAATACTTCATGTAGGGGAACACTGACAACCTGGTACTGTAGTAATACTTCATGTAGGGAACACTGGCAACCTTGTACTGTAGTAATACTTCATGTAGGGAACACTGGCAACCTGATACTGTAGTAATACTTCATGTAGGGGAACACTGACAACCTGGTACTGTCTATATATACTTCATGTAGGGAACACTGGCAACCTGATACTGTAGTAATACTTCATGTAGGGGAACACTGGCAACCTGATACTGTAGTAATACTTCATGTAGGGGAACACTGGCAACCTGATACCGTAGTAATAATACTTCATGTAGGGGAACACTGGCAACCTGATACTGTAGTAATACTTCATGTAGGGGAACACTGGCAACCTGTAGTAATACTTCATGTAGGGAACACTGGCAACCTGATACTGTAGTAATACTTCATGTAGGGGAACACTGGCAACCTGATACTGTAGTAATACTTCATGTAGGGGAACACTGACAACCTGGTACTGTCTATATATACTTCATGTAGGGAACACTGGCAACCTGATAATAGTAATACTTCATGTAGGGGAACACTGGCAACCTGGTACTGTCTAGTATACTTCATGTAGGGGAACTTCAACCTGATACTGTAGTAATACTTCATGTAGGGGAACACTGACAACCTGGAACTGTCTGATATACTTCATGTAGGGAACACTGGCAACCTGATACTGTAGTAATACTTCATGTAGGGAACACTGGCAACCTGATACTGTAGTAATACTTCATGTAGGGGAACACTGGCAACCTGGTACTGTAGTAATGCTGTGAGGGGGAACACTGACAACCTGGTACTGTCTATATATACTTCATGTAGGGAACACTGGCAACCTGATACTGTAGTAATACTTCATGTAGGGGAACACTGGCAACCTGATACTGTAGTAATACTTCATGTAGGGGAACACTGACAACCTGGTACTGTCTAGATATACTTCATGTAGGGAACACTGGCAACCTGATACTGTAGTAATACTTCATGTAGGGGAACACTGGCAACCTGATACTGTAGTAATACTTCATGTAGGGGAACACTGGCAACCTGATACTGTAGTAATACTTCATGTAGGGAACACTGGCAACCTGATACTGTAGTAATACTTCATGTAGGGGAACACTGACAACCTGATACTGTAGTAATACTTCATGTAGGGGAACACTGGCAACCTGGTACTGTAGTAATACTTCATGGATCCACGTTACGTGTAGGACAGCTTCAAAAACGTTGCTTTTCAGTCTTAATAACTGTAGGTCCTCCTTATGCCTTAACCCGTGAAGATCCGGTTTAGAATATTGATCTTCAGTAACCCATGCTTGTCGTATAAGGCGACTAACGGGATCGGGTGGTCAGGCTCACTGGCTTGGTTGACACATATCATCGGTTCCCAATTGCGCAGGTCGACGCTCATGCTGTTGATCACTGGATTGTCTGGTCCAGACTCGATTATTTACAGACCGCTGCCATATCGCCGGAATATTGATGAGTGCTGTGTTAAACAGCAAACCAAAATGCAAAGTGATCTTAGTGCTATAACAAGCATAAGACTATTTTAAGTTATGGGAGTTACGATCATCTTAATGCTAAGATTGTTTGTTGGTGGTGGTGGGTGGGTGTGGTGGGTGGGGAATATCTGTTTTGTCATATGTGTGGAATTGATGCATGATTTCTTGATGTGAGTTTGTTCCTTGGAGTTTACTTTTGACTCTGTTTTCAGACACTTGGTGGTTAGCTGCGTTATTCAATTACCGGTGTGAGTGCGGCGTAAAACAAAACTCACTTACTCACCTTATGCCTTACATATATTTTAAAACCTTTACATTCACGCTTCAAGCATTCGACTTCGTATTTTGCTGTCATTTAGACTCGGTTCCACGTTATCGACAAGCACTCTGGGAAGGAAGTCAACGCTGAAATCCCGTATGTCGCTGATGCCTTTCTGGTGTTGCACCACATCAACGCCTACGAGGATCAAGGTCGGTAACTCAGCGTAATATCAAACGGTATTTGTCATATATCAATGTTACCCATCATATCGTTATTGCCACTATACCATTGATGCTGCTAATGTTGGTATTCTACGCAGGTGTAGAGCGGATTGGTGTATTGGTGCAGAGTGGATTACTGTATTGCTGTAGACAGTATGGCTGCATTGGTGTCGAGTGTATGGTTTTATTGGTGTAGAGAGTATGGCTGTATTGGTGTAGACAGTATGGCTGTATTGGTGTAGACAGTATTGGTGTAGAGAGTATGGCTGTATTGGTGTAGACAGTATTGGTGTAGAGAGTATGGCTGTATTGGTGTAGAGAGTATGGCTGTATTGGTGTAGAGAGTATGGCTGTATTGGTGTAGAGAGTATGGCTGTATTGGTGTAGAGAGTATGGCTGTATTGGTGTAGAGAGTATGGCTGTATTGGTGTATGGTGTATTGCTGTGGATTATTGCTGTATTGGTGTAGACTGTATTATGGTGTATTGGTGTAGAGAGTATGGCTGTATTGGTGTAGAGAGTATGGCTGTATTGGTGTATTGCTGTATTGGTGGCTGCGGTGTATTGGATGTAGGCGGCAGAGTAGTATGGCTGTATTGGTGTAGAGCCATATGGCTGTATTGGTGTAGAAGGTATGGCTGTGTTGGTGTAGAAGTATGGCTGGTGTAGAGAGTATGGCTGTATTGGTGTAGAGAGTATGGCTGTATTGGTGTAGAGAGTGGTATTGTTTGTAGAGATTGGTGTAGAGTGAGTATGGCTGTATTGGTGTAGAGAGTATGGCTGTATTGGTGTAGAGTGTATGGCTGTATTGGTGTAGAGTATGGCTGTATTGGTGTAGAGAGTATGGCTGTATTGGTGTAGAGAGTATGGCTGTATTGGTGTAGAGAGTATGGCTGTATTGGTGTAGAGAGTATGGCTGTATTGGTGTAGAGAGTATGGCTGTATTGGTGTAGAGTATGTCTGTATTGGTGTGGCTGTATTGGTGTAGAGAGTATGGCTGTATTGATGTAGAGAGTATGGCTGTATTGGATGTAGAGTGTATGGCTGTATTGGTGTAGAGAGTATTGCTGTATTGGTGTAGAGAGTATGGCTGTATTGGTGTAGAGAGTATGGCTGTATTGGTGTAGAGTGTATGGCTGTATTGCTGTAGAGAGTATGGCTGTATTGGTGTGAGAGTATATGGCTGTATTTGTGTGTAGAGTGTAAGTGGCATTGACTGTATTGATGTAGTGTATGGCTGTATTGGTGTAGAGAGATATTGCTGTATTGGTGTAGAGCTGTATGAGTATTGGTGTAGAGAGTGGATGGCTGTATTGGTGTAGAGCCTATGTTTGTATTGATGCGTAGAGAGTTTGGCTGTATTTTGGTGTAGAGTATTGCTGTATTGGTGTAGAGACTATGGCTGTATTGGTGTAGAGTGTATTGATGGCTGTATTGGTGTAGAGTATGCTGTATTGATAGTGATGTAGAGACATGGCTGTATTGGTGTAGAGCGTGGTATTGGTATGGCTGTATTGTGCAGATTGCTGTATTGGTAGAGGTTGTATTGATGGCTGTATTGGTGTAGTTGAAGAGACAGATTGGTGTAGTGTTAGGCCTGTATTGATGTATTGGTGTAGATGAATAACTGTATTGCGAGAGTATGGCTGTATTGGTGTAGTGATAATGGCATTTGCTGTAGGTGTATGTAGAGTATGGCTGGCTATTGCGTGTAAGTTGATGTAGAGAGTATGGCTGTATGGTAGATGTAGAAGTATGGCTGTGTTGATGTAGAGTAGTATGGCTGTATTGATATAAAGTATGGCTGTATTGATGGCTGGCTGTATTGGTGTAGAGTGTATGGCTGTATTGATGTAGGTGAGTAAGTAAGTGCTGTATTGATGTGTGTAGAGATATAAACATACAGTGAGTAGTATGGCTGTATTGATGTAGAGAGTATGGCTGCATTGATATTGTGTGAGAGAGTATGGCTGTATTGGTGTAGAAGTATGTGGTGTATTGGTGTAGAGAGTATGGCTGTATTGGTGTAGAGTAGAGCTGTATTGCTGTATTGATGGCTGTAGAGAGTATGGCTGTATTGGTGTAGAGATATGGCTGTATTGGTGTAGAATGGCTGTATTGATGTAGAGTGTATTGGCTGTATTGATATAGAGAGTATTGCTGTATTGGTGTAGAGAGTATTGCTGTATTGGTGTATGGCTGTAGTGTCATATGTTGGTGTATTGCATTGTAGAGTAGTATGACTATGGCTGTATTGGTGTAGGGGATATGAGTATTGCTGAGTGGATGAGTATGGTTGTATTGCTGTATTGTAGTGTAAGGATGTGATTGGTGTAGAGAGTATGGCTGTATTGGTTGAGTGTAGAAAGTATTGGTAGAGACTATGTATTAGTGTGTTGGCTGTATTGGTGTAGAGCTATATGGCTGTATTGGTGTATGGTAAGTATGGCTGTATGTATTGGTGTAGAGTGGATGGCTGTATTGGTGCGAGTATGGTTGCGTAGAGGCGTATGGCTGTATTGGTTAGTAGAGAGTATTGGTGTAGAAATATGTATTTCTGATTCAGTACGTAATGGTGTATTGGTGTATGGCTGCATTGCCTGTATTGAGTTTATGTATGTATTGGTGTAGAGAGTATGGCTGTATTGATGTAGATAGTATTGGATGAGTGTATGGCTGTATTGGTGTATTGTATTGGTGTAGTATTGATGTAGAGCGTATGGCTGTATTGATGTAGAAGTATTGAGAGTATTGCTGTTTGATATAGAGTGTATTGTATCGATATATATGGCTGTATTGGTGTAGAGAGTATGGCTGTATTGGTGTAGTGAGAGCATGGCTGTATTGATGTAGAGTTGCTGTATTGATGTAGAGACTATGGCTGTAGAGAGAGTATGGCTGTATTGGTGTAGAGAGTATGGCTGTATTGGTGTTGAGAGTATATGGCTGTATTGGTGTAGAGTATTGGTATGGCTGTATTGGTGTAGAGTGTATGGCTGTATTGGTGTAGAGTATGTGTCTGTATTGGTGTAGAGAGTATGGCTGTATTGGTGTAGAGTGTATGGCTGTATTGGTGTAGAGAGTATGGCTGTATTGGTGTTGAGAGTATTGCTGTATTGGTGTAGAGAGTATTGCTGTATTGGTGTAGCTGTAGTATAGAGATGTATATTGGTGTAGAGAGTATTGCTGTATTGATGTAGAGTGTATGGCTGTATTGATGTAGAGTGTATGGCTGTATCGATATAGAGAGTATGGCTGTATTGGTGTAGAGACTTTATGGCTGTATTGTTGTAGAGAGTATGGCTGTGATGGTGTAGAGCGTATGGCTGTATTGAGATCGAACAAAAAGATTTCCGCCTCCGGCAGACACATACCCACTTGTCCACCTACATAGCATTGGTGCTGTTTTGGATCAGTATAGTTCAGGTGTTCTCCAAGTATAAACTACATCACCTCACTGACTGACGTGTACAGTCGTTGTTAGACTTACATACGATACCTTGCGTTGGGGTAGACTAGCTGCCAAAGTGTTCGTTTGTCTCGTTGGATCACCGTTTGCAAATCCCAACATCTGAAGCCCATGTCTGGTGATCCCTCTGTTGTAGAATCCTGAATCCTGAAAGTCTGACTCACACACTACACTCATCCTTATGATGTTACTTCAGTTATAGCCTAACCCATAGTCTCTGACTATCATATATTTTTTATATGAACAAGATTGAAAAGGTTCCCCAGTGAGAAGATAGATTCAGAACCTGAGGAATTCTGGACCTGCTTCATGTAGGGCTTTAGTAGGAAGGGAAAATAGTGTAATTCAGGGACTGTGACACAGACTACTTCAGTAACAGCAGGGTATTATCCCCAATTGACGTTGGTATTCTCCATTATTAATGTCAGCCGCCGATAATACCCCAATACACCAGCTAATCGTTATTTATTGGGCAACAAGAAACCATGATTTGCTTGTAATGGGTTACAAAAGAGCTGGATGGTGATAGACATCCGGTATTTGTGTACTTGGCCAACACAGGAGCGGTGGGGGCGGTGTTGTCACTGCAGACGTGCGCCCCTATGACGGTGACAGAAACCAATGACGGCACGTTTGCCTTGACCGTGTTACAAAGGTCATCAACACCATACCCTTCTTGTAGGTTTCAACGTAGTAAACGTTTAAGACTAACATCAATTCAGACTTTCCTCAACATGAAACTACCCGTGAAGATCCGGGTTAGAATTGGTCTTCAGTAACCCATGCTTGTCGTAAGAGACGACTAACGGGATCGGGTGGTAAGGCTCGCTGACTTGGTTCACACACGTCAACGGTTCCCAGTTGCGTAGATCGATTCTGTTGATCACTGGGTTATCTGGTACAGACTCGATTATTTACAGACCGTCGCCTCATAGCTGTAATATTGCTGACTGCGGTTTAAAACCAAACTCACTCACTCACTTGAGATCAAACCGAAATACGCTTCACTGCGGCGTAAAACGAACCTCGCTCACACACTCTGTTAGCGCTGGACACCATTGGATGTTCATACATGTTGTTCATCTATGTGACAGTCATATTTCCAGTATCGTCAACCACGTTTCTGTCGTGCAGAGCATGCCGTTCCCGTGAATCCTAAACACATTTTGTTTTTGCCCCTTGTCTTGAGAGTTCCAGTGTAAGCTGCTGCACCTGATTGATAATGAAAACTGACAACAGAACAGACAGGCAGAAAAAAAACTGGTGTATTCCAGCGCGTGCTTTATCCCAAACCTGACAAACACCACAGCTGCATTATGTCCGAATCTTCAAATGTTTTTTTATGTTGGATCTGTGGAAGATGTTAGATCCATGTGATTCAAGACGGACATATACAAGCCACAAAACCCTTTCCATAACTGTAAAAGCTGAAAGCGGAATTGTACGATTTCCACTATAACAGGAACATGCATTTATCAAGCAAAATGGAACAGTGAGGCTAGCGGTGTTGGGAAGCTGAACCTGGCCCATTGGTGGCACCGTCATAAACACACGCATGGGCAACGAAATTGTTTCTCAGATAAAACTATAAGGGACAGTAAGGTACAAGTAAGATAGGGAGTTGCATAAGGGTTTTTTGTCTTTTCGGTTACGCATCAAACATCAACACACATACTCGCACTCGCGCTCGCACTCGTACACGCACACGCACTCGCACACATGCACGCACATACACAAACACACCACACACACACCCATACACACATAGGTTTGATAAAGTTTGACAAATATGGCTGATGATATGATGTCTAATTGCCATTTCTGTTGAAATATATCTCTGGCAGGCACACGAAACTGATTAATGAACACATTAACATTTAAAATTGTCTTGGACCGCCTAATGAAACCAAATCCAGATCTGAAAAGCACTATACGTATACAATAGGCCATGTATTCTGATCAAGATTATGGCGATAATGGAGTTATCTGACGCTCTTTGAAGTCTTCTTAGAAAGAGCATGATGTAACTGCTTAAGTATTGATTGACGTGAAGGATTTACTGTAGACTGAAAGTTAACTGCTGAAACGTCCACGAGTCCCTTAAATATTTCTTAAAGACTGGTACCTATGAACTATAACATGAAACTTTCATATTGAATATTCACATACAGGTAAATATTCTGAGTGTGTATGGCCATACGTATTATGTATGAGAGTGTGACATGCCAATACTAGATAAAAGTTTGTCAGTGAATGATTACTACAGATGACAATACGAGCGTCTGTCAGATACCATTTATCTTACCACATGTTTCAAAACGTATCTCACGAGTGAAAGCAGGTCAGATACGTTGTGAAAGAGGTCATTCTCAGAAATCGTATCTGACGTGGACGAATGTTGTTATCTCATTCCTACACACCCAAAACGAATGGACATACGTTATTCATACGACATCTAATCTCGTGATCACAATGGCGCATTAATACATCACCCAATGGTCATTTAACTATGACGTCACCCGGCCTTCTGGTTACTACCCATGCCTATTGTGAATCTCCACACAAACGTCATACCTGTGGAAATCAAATCGAAAAGTGTCAATAAACTATTATGAGATTCAAGAACATTTACTAACATAATGAATACTGTAAGGGACATTCTCGCGATCTCGCATTCTCGCGATTTCGTGTTTTTGTGGCCATATTTGACAAGTCGAGATTGCGAGAATGCGAGATTTGACAGCATGTACAAATGTCGCATTCTCGCGATCTCGACTTTTGACAAAAGTGCTATGTACCAAAACCGAGAATGCGAGATCGCGAGAACGCGAGATTTTGGCCAAATCTCGCGTTCTCGCGATCTCGCATTCTCGCATTCTCGCACTTTTGCCCTTTTTCAGCTTGTTTCCAAAGGACGAGATCGCGAGAATGCGAGATCGCGAGAATGTCCCGTACAGTATTCCATACTAACACCCTAAACCACAAAGTTTCGGGAATGACGTAAAAGAGTTCTACAGTAGAACTACTAACTTATTAGTACATTAAAGGAAAGTAATCCGTCATAATTTGACCTTAGGTCATCACCATAGCTTAGCCAATCACGAACCTGGGATTCAACCTCGTGCATATGAGTGTTTCTAGACTAACGCTTAGTCTCGACAAATGTATAATTTTGACAGAAACAAATAATTCCTTTGGGAAGCCCAAATGAAAGATGCAAAGTGGGTGATTCAGAACCTGGGGAAATCCAGAGTTACTTCATTAGGGCTTTAGCATTGCAGAAAGGGCTGGGAAGAAGGGGAAATAATGTGGTTCAGGGACTGTGGGACAGACTAGTGTGATACCAATTCTCTCAGAACGGTTTCTCACTCATGAGAAATCCTAATACTGTTCGTAGATTATCAGCTAAACGATGTTCGAGTACTTTATCAGCGACGTGTATGGCACCACACACAGAACATGCTATATAAGCTATATCATACAGTTGAATGTCGACTGTCTCGGTCAGCCAAATGTCAGGCATGCTGGCTGAATGAGATAATCGGTAGAGTGGCCGTCTCACCTATCCCCAAGTCTCTGATCGACGGGCCACACCCAGGTCGATCGAGTCAACGCGCCACACTTCCCCTGTAATTGTTCAGAGCTGACCTCCCTTATAACCTGGCCCGCCTTAGAAGAAGGAATGACTACCATAAGATCATATCACCCAACGCTCAATTTCCTGTTTTTTCTAAATACTCCATATGTGTTTTGCAGTTTAATCGTTCAAGCACGTCTCAAGTGCATATGTGCTTTCACGAGTCTCAAACATGCAGTAATATCATGAACCTTGACGCACAAAAGAAAGTGTGCAAGTGCTTTGAGATTAATGTTCAAATAATCACCCCAAACCATATGTGTAGTTTCTTTTGTACGTCAGTTTATGTTCATGCATTTATGTATATCTGAAACTCCGGTATGCATGCATGAGCATGCATATTGATACAGTCAATAGTATCAATGTATTATACATGAGGGTACATACAGAACTGTTTAGGATCAATAATAGGACGGTATCATCCCATCCAACACCTAACATTCTAAGAGTTCATCTGTTTTACTTAGGGTGTACACAATAGCAGCCAGACTGCTAACAAATGTTTTTATTCTGTACTCGGACATCGTTCGCCATAAAGTCGGAACCAGGTCTGCTTTTATTGTCCCCATGTTTTAGACTCGCTTAGAGTTTCGTCGGAATTAATGGTATCTATCTCATTGTACCGTTACCTTATGTATGAACCGTTAAATTTGATTACTAGACGGGCTAATTCTTTTAAGCGAAAACATTCTGCGGGAGTTTTTTAATTGAAATATATCGCTGAATTTTAAAAAAGATTAACTATGTATTATTCTTTGGAAACTTTGGAAACTGGGACAAATTTGATGTAAACATACGTATTCAGATGGTTTGTATCAAATTAATGCTGTCGTATTTCTTGGGCTTTCAAAGATTTACATTTTGTGTCTTCTCTTAAACGAATGAAAGCAAGCTTTTGGTTTTTTCACAATAGTGAGGTGAATAAGAGCTACAAAAAACTCTTTCCATGTTCATAAAATATCTCAAACTGCTAAAGCAGTCAATTGCACGATCCCGACCATGTCAAGATTATGCATTCATTAAGCACTATCAACTCGTGATGACTCCTACCTGTGACGATCTGGGTTAGAAATGTCTTCAGCAACCAACGCTTGTCGTAAGAGGCGACTAGCGGTATCGGGTGGTCAGGCTCGCTGACTTGGTTGACACAACCCATCGTATCCCAATTGCCTAGATTGATGCTCACTGGATTATCTGGTCCAGACTCAGTTATTTACAGACCGCCACCATCTAGCTGGAATATTGTCTGATTTTGTCTGGTGTCAGTGTTTTCAATCTTTATATCATTTTGTACAAGTTTTCTTTCTTCACAGGGCACCTGGTGGTCGATGTTTGCGGCTTCCATGTCGGTGACATCCTCGACAAGTTCGAAATGGAACTTCTCACCACTGACAAAGCAGAGGAGGTCATCCAGAACCTGCCACGCCCTTACCCATGGAGATACGTCTTGCCTCTGGAAGTAGACATAGACGTACGGCTAGTGAAATGTCTCTAAGCTCAATACTGACTGCAAAACGTTTACAGTTTTTTGTACTTCCTTTATAAGAGTGAATTGCAAAAAGGCATTTTCTCCCTTGCCCTAACTTCTTACGTTGAAGACAATGTGTTTAGGTTTGTCCGCCCTAAAGGTATCCCCACAAACCTGGTAAAGATTTTCGGGTTTCCCTTACCACTGGTTTGGTGAATCTAGTTTTACGCCGCAGGTAATATTGAGTCTTTATCACCTGGTAATATTTGAGTCGGGACCACGCACAACAATGACTGACAGACATGCACTATGGCACGCTATCAGTCAACAGTAGATCTGAACAGTAGATCCAATTTAGCTGACCCCCAGACTCTTCCGACCACAGTGGGGTACGAGGGACGTATATCAACCCGTGACCCTAGGGTTATCAGTGACAAGAGCGGACTGATAAAACTGACAAGTACATAATCTATCCAGTCCTAGATTAATGGTAACGTTTAGAAAGTGATCTTCACCTCCCACTCTCCGACGTCATCAGCACACATACCTGTAGCATGTCGCCCTTTAACGACGTGCACTACGATACAAGTCCATAGGCATGCATACTGACGAAGAGTAAGAAAAGTACAGTACTTTATGGATAACTCTCTTGCTTGCCAAAGGTATAAGAATCCACACCGAAACGTCGCATCATAATAAAATCAAGAAGTCGTTGTCCATGAAGTATTGTACTTTTCTTACTATTCATCAACTTCTAAAATGCCAATCAAACAGAACACATTGATGAAGAGATTAGTAACCTGATTGGGATAATTAAGTATTGCTCTGACTGGGTAGTTTTGCCATATTAGATCGCTCTTGATCAAATGGTCTGCTTTTAGTGCATAGTCCCGCTGAGTAGTTGATAAACTGACTCTCAAAGCGTATTAACTCGACAACCACTTCAATGACAGTGTCCCTCAATAATCTATCGGAACATGTTCTGACCTCCGTATTAGCTGGCATATTTCTGATGGTTTATAGTAGCCTGTGGTTGTTTAGATGCACTTGTTTAAATAGTTTTGTATCAAGTCTCCGCCGCGTCGACCACTTGTCTCAGTACGGGAGACAAGCTTCTCATGTTCGAAATATTACTTCCTACCGAGTAAAAATATTCAAAATATGAATCAGATCCAATTCCAAGAGACATCATACCTCTCAAAATATGTTTCATTATCTTAGTCAGTCTAATGTTGGGAAATACAAACTTTTGAATGCATTGCATAGCCAAGGTCGGGCGCTTCTGTGATATGAGAACTGATTGTTATCAAATGATAATGGGCTCTACACATTGTACCCACGTGGGGAATCGAACCCGGGTCTTTTGCGTGACGAGCAAACGCTTTAACCACTGGGCTACCCCACCGCACCCATCAGATGTATGAAAGCTGGGTAGCAGGTACCACAGGTACTTATACATACATCTGCTTCCCTGTTTCATTCACCTGATGAAAGTAGTAAGTATATAGGCAGAAACGTCGTGTCCCTCCTATTACCAAGCTGACGTCTATAAATGTTCACTTTTCTGTGTATATAATCTGTGCTGCACTCGTAACTCTTTACTTGAATTGACATGAAGTGGAACATTTAATTATTTAATGGATAGACAACTTCATTAATGCAATAAATGCGATGTTTCGATGTAGATGCGAACACTGTTATCATGCAAGTGATACGTCGTAGGTAAGATAATTACAATTATCATACCAGCTACACGCCACTTAAAGAAGTTACTGAATTACAATGCTGAGTGTTTCGGAGATCTACGTTTGTTCCTAACTGTATATCCTACAGTATGTCCTACAGTACATCCTACAGAGTCTGCATTCCACTATCACAGAACAACAGTTACAGGTTACAGCCTTGGCCAAACTGCCACACATGTCCATCGTCATTCTAAGCTGATACTAGGACATTTAGATGTTTAGATTCCAAGATGTTTACACCATATAAACACATTCCATGTAGTATATCAAGTAAAACGTACATCGTGGGTTTTATTATATACATACAATAAATATCCCTAGTTCACATGGTGAGTATGGTAATGAAATGCACAGCTGTGGGGACCTAGGAACTGAGGGCAGCTGTGGGGACCTAGGAACTGAGGGCAGCTGTGGTGGGACCTAGGAACTGAGGGCAGCTGTGGGGACCTAGGAACCGAGGGACGGATGTAGGTCCCTCTAATACTGGAGCTGATCTGTTTGTAGGCTTCGTCTTCGTAATGTTAGACTCTGGAAGGCTATCCTATTGTGTCACGTATACATCACAGGAATCAGTTTGTTGATGCGTGATGCTTTTCATTTCCAGACAGAACCAGACAGCAACCTTGTGACTCTTCCTGACACTGATGCCACGGCTGTGCTGAGGAAGAAGAAGGTATTCTGCAAGTACCAAGCCCTGTCTGAACAATGTAGGTAGACACAAGTGATTTAAATGCATGTAAACCCCGTTTTAAGGACTCCAACTTTCGGGATCACTGTCACAAAGGTGTCTTAGCGCTTTAACCATCGTCAGGCTGTGTTAAATGATATAATTACAATAGAATAGCCTCACTTTGTGCATATGGGTCCAGGGCCTGATCACACAAATACGTCGTCAGACTACGATTGTCGTAAGTCCTTGTCTGTCTGTTGTTTAACGCCTCAATCAGCAATATTCGAGCTATATGGCGGCTGTATGTTATTAATCGAGTCTGGACCAGACAATCCTGTGATCAACAGGATGAGCATCGATCTACGCAATTTGGAACCGATGACATGTGACCACCCGATCCTCAGTCTAGCATGGGTTGCTGAAGACCAATTCTAACCCGGACCTTCACGGCTCTTGACAATATGGGCTTATCGATCCTGCTTTTGGAAGGAAGAAAAATGGCTGCAAAAGTGAATGAGTTTAGTTGTATGCCGTTTTAGCATATTTCAAGTTACATTCACGTCCAGGGCATGAATAATAGACGGGGATCGAACCCGGTCGTTGTCATGATGAGTGAACGCTTTTACCGCTCGGCTAACCTACTAACCATGAGTATCTGAATGATCTCTCAACTCAACGTTGTTTGGAGTGACCGGGTTTTTACACCTATTTAACAATTTCTCAACAATATCCCTGAGGGGTACACATATCTCACAGACACACACACACACAGACACACACACACACACACAGACACACACACACACACACACACACACACACACACACACACACACACACACACAAAAACAAACAAAAACAAAACAAAACAAAACAAAAGCCAGCGAGCCTGACCATCTGATCCCGTTAGTCGCCTCTTACGACAAGCACGGGTTACTGAAGGCCAATGTTAACCCGGATCTTTACGTGTAAGACCATGTTAACGACAAGCTATGCGGTAGTCGCATAAAAGGGAAAGGGGCGGCTGGACCAATACCGGAACCCATGTCTCGGTCATAGGGAAAATTGTGAATCCGGATTTAGTCGGAATCCTTTTGTCCTTTTTAGAATGTATGTAATGTAGAACATATTCAGCAGGGAAGGGTGAGACGTCATCAAACAGATGGGTCTGAGTTGATGCGCCCTGAATTTCAGCATCGGGTAAGTCTGACTGTTATTGATGAGAAAACATTAATCTTGATATATATTTGCCCAAATGTGGCTGATTAATGCATAGATTGGCCAATGTTTTATCACTAATCCCTGTTGGAAGCTAATAACATTGATTTCAGAGATTACCAAAATGGATTGTCCTTTGTATTGTGATCCTATTGCTCCAGTCAACACCCATCACCGTCCTGTCCACATGACAGAGCCTAATCTCAACCACCTGACAGAGCCTAATCCAGAGCCTGACTGATACGTCAACAGTCACGCTGCGTTTCAGTCTTATTAAGGGCATTTCTGGGTCTGTTTCGTTGCCAATGATACTCTGAAAGTTGATGAAACGAAACATCCGGGTTCACCATTACTTTAACCGAAAAACTCCATCACGACGCCGAGCACAATCGATCAGCGTAGGATAAGATCAAGTATGAACTGGTGATTTGCACCTGACAGGTGTTAAACACAGGTAGGGGCTGACATCAGCCTTCATCTTCCCTTATCTCACGACAGCGTCTACCTTTGCACCGGTTGCAGCGTCCATCTTATCATTTACTGCAAATTACGGCGACGATGGCCATGGGAGATTACTTCTATCAATAGCCTCCCAGCTCGCCTCTAGGATGTAATGGGCTATTTAACCCTGTTTAATAGACACGAGTCACTTTAGGCAGGGCTTGAGCAACCAAGGCTTCAAATGCATTTCGATAAAAAGATTCCCTGCATGCATTTTGCACATTAATAACAAAAGGTCGTGCCGTATCTGATTTTTGCTGTAACGTGATTGCGGAAGATTTCTAGAACGTTGATCTTAATGTTTGTGTCTGCGTGTAATTAACTTACGGGTTGTCCGTTAAGTAGGAGAAATAGCGGTTTGCTCAATTAGCAATTACTGTCCCACCCTAATCGCATAACAGAGCGCATGTACAAACTCATTTATATGAGATACCAATTGACGAGAATTTTTTTGTGTACATACGCTTGGTAATGACTTACACACACTCAATCTGCCCATCAGATAGTAACATAACGGTATATTTGTAACAGTGTATGATCAAGGGCTAATTATATAAAGAAAATATGCAAAGAGCTTATTTGCAGATGCCGACTTTGTGAATGCTTAGTACAATGTTAACAAGCTTATGATGTTTCTAAATGTTGGGATTTGATCTCCTCATCAATGAGGAAACTAACAGAAGTAAATTACATTTGGGGGCATTTAGGTTAACTTTGCCCAACGTGGATGAATATGAAATCTTTGAAGGATGAAAAAGCGGCAACAGGACATTGTTCCTTGATGACTCCATCAAGAAGTGTTCGAATTGTTGAGGTTCAATCGAGTGTGTACAAGCGTTGACGAGCGCTGAAATGTGTTGCTAGATGTATCAAGGTGGACATGACTTGCCGACTGTGGCCTGCCACCGCAGTATGCAAAAGTATACTGGTATTAACGAACCTATACGAGGGCAGACATGCGCAGATAAGCGTTGACGGGTTTAGAGAGTAGATGAACCTAGATAAGCGAGGACAAGCATGGGAATTGTCTGCGAGTGGTATCGAGAGTTTGCGAATGTTAACGTATGTCATGTAGTCTGTCTGTACTGATGGGAACTCCCTCCTTGCTTCAGCTATGGACCTTCCGGTTATCAACTACCCCATGGTCAATGGCAGGAAGTACCGCTTCGTGTACGGGACAGGGCTCCAGGCAGCGCCGGCCAATATGCCTGCAGTACGTACCTGTATAGTGATGGCTAGCAGACACCATTAAGAACATTGTTACCAACTGCAAAACCGTCACCTTCACCACAGACAACAACGCCATTATCACAACTCAAACAACAACTGCAGACCTTTGAACATCACCAGAAACCAGCAACGTCAACCCCACCCAACTCACAACATTTCCAAAATCCCAACACCAGCACTAACAACACCAGATACATCACCATCAATACTACACGCATACATCCCTAGAACACAACTACCACCGCTACCACTACCACTATTGCCACGGGTACTACCACCCCTGCTACCACTACCACTATTGCCACGGGTACTACCACCCCTGCTACCACTACCACTATTGCAACGGATACTACCACCACCGCTACCACTACCACTATTGCCACGAGTACTAACACCCCTGCTACCACTACCACTATTGCGACGGCTACTACCACCACCGCTACAACTACTGACTCTACTATTGTTGGCGATCTATAGCCCGTTTTTATATAATTGTATTGTTCTGAATTGTGGTGTTAAAGTTACGTACTATTTTTAAATATCTAATTGTGATAATCTAGTTATTTTACTGGCCTTTCTCGACAAATATTATAATATTACCCTATTTATTATGAATGAATGAGTTTTTAGTTACGAAATGACTGAACTATTATCGATGTTAATATGAATCTTAACTCACTCACCAATACTACTACCACTACTCCTAATCCCCTCCTGCTGCTGGGCGGTGGGATAGCGTAGTGGTTAAAGCGTTCGCTCGTCATGCAGAAGACCCGGGTTCGATTCCCCACGTGGGTACAATGTATGAAGCCAATTTCTGGTGTCCCCCGCCGTGACATTGCTGGAATATTGCTAAAAGCGGCGTAAAACTAAACTCACTCACTCACTCCTGCTGCTACAGCTACTACCACTTCTAGTACTCCTGTTACTACTGCTACTACTAACACTATCACGACAACTACTACTACCACAATTACTACTACTACCACTACAACTACTACTACTACCACTACTACTACTACTACCACCACCACTACTACTACTACTACTACCACCACTACTACTACTACTACCACTACTACTACTACTACTACTACCACTACTACTGCTACTGCTGAAACTGCAACTGCTACTGTACTACTACTACTACTACTATTACTACTACTACTACTACTACCACCACTACCACTACTACTACTACTACCACTACTACTACTACTACTACCACTACTACTACTACCACTACCACTACTACTGCTACTGCTACAACTGCTACTGCTACTACTACTACTACTGATACTCCTGAAACTGCAACTGCTACTCTACTACTACTACTACTACTACTACTACTACTACTACTGCTAATGTTACTGCAACTGCAGCTGCGTCTACTACAACAACTGCATCACCTGCTCCACTTCTCTACACAGCAGAACACACCGAGACGTCAACACAATGGTAACCCAAAAGGCAAAGTCTGAACTTTTTCTTATTGGTTTGTGTAACTTTTTTCAAGACACAATTAGCCCAATTAAAGACATGGCGACCACACTGCTTCAGGCAGGAGGGAGTAGTTTTTCCAAATCCAATTAACTTTACTCATAAAACAGATTGATTTTTCGTTCGCCTTCAGAGATTGACGTAATTCAACGATTTGTTACGAAAAAAACAAAATGAATAAACCTGAACGTAACCGCATGAATCATTTGTTTTACTTTGCGTCGGGCGTAAGTAACACCATCCCACAATAACTAATGCGTTCAGTGATTAGCATGGCGGCGTTTGACTAATCTGCCATCGGACTAAACAGCCTCATTTGTAGGGTGCTCAGCGAGACTCGTATTTCAATTTTTAGAAATGTATTTACAAGTCATTTATCATCAATACATACGCATTCTCGGTATTGACAAACTCAGAAAGGGCAAGTGTAACAGGCATGATTGATGCGGATGTTCTTGGCAGTATCTTTGTGATGTGCATTATTAAAGTATGGGATGTCGCTGTAAATAATGTATTCATTTTAAGTTGCCGTTTTTATTGATTAAATGCAACAACGGTCGGAGATAAAAGATACGTCTTTTTGTCTAAAGCGATCGTTAATGGCGTATGTTTTTTTAGCAGATTCTTTCTGCGGTATTTTTGTATTTGATTTCATATATTATTAGACATTGCCTGACTACAGACGATTGAATGATTCTTTCTGAAAAAAAGAATTAATACTGTTCCTTTGTTTTCAGATATTCAAGCTTGATATCAACGAGAAGACGACCGTGAAATGGTGTGAGGACGGATGCTTCCCTTCCGAAGCCATCTTTGTGCCGCGACCTTCACCTTCACGTGAAGATGACGGTAGGTAGTGGGTGAAGGTAAACGCAATATTTGAGCTCCGTGGTGGCAATGGGAGTAGACACTAATATAACAGGGTGTTGTGTACTAAGCGGTAGTACCGCCCTGTAGTAGGTTGAAGTCAGCAATACTACAGTTAAGTGCTATGAAACGTTTAACAAGTAAAGCTATTCATGGTCAAGAATGTGATAAGAAGAAATGGATTTGTTTCGCTCTTACTGAAGAGAATATAAGATTATGACTCGATAAACAATGGTCCCTCCCCATTTCCTTTGCCTTCCCTTTCTCTCCTTCCATTCTCCGCCTTCCTTTCTCCGTCTTCCCTTCTCCCTTTTCTCCACTTCTCTTCCATTAGTTTATGCCATCCCTTCTTCCCTCGACTCCGTTTCTCCGCATTACCTTCTCCGCTTTCCCCTCTCCCCATTCCTTGCCTTCCTTTCCCGCCTCCTACCGTCTTCCATCCCTTCTCCCCTTCCCTTGGCTTATCTCTTCCCCTTCCACTTCTCCGCCTTCCCTTCTGTGCCTTCCATTCTTCCCACTTCATTTCTGCTCCATCCTTTTCTCTTCCCTTTTCCGCCTCTTCTTCTTTCTATCTTCCCTTCTCCCCACTTCCCTTACCCTCCTTCCCTTTCCTATCTTCTCTTCGCCGCCTTCCCCCCTTGCCCTCTCCCCGTTCCCTCGTATCTCCCTCCCCAGGATATGAAATGTCAGCCCCAAAATATGTTTCAAAAGTAATAACTTTTACAATCCACTTTGGAGCACCATTCCAGAGTTGCCAGTGTCCCGAAGGTTTGATGATAACACATGAAGGTGACATTGTTCCTGTAACCCTGTTTGGTGAGGTATATATTGTTATATATTGCCATCATCCGGTGTGAGATTCACTCCACGGCCTTGGAACCTTGTTATTGATGGACGTAGGAAGGGGGATGAGATTAATGTTCATCAAGGTTGTTATTTGGGAGTAGGAATCTCCAGGGACTCCGGCATTAGGAGCGCTACACACCTGATCTCCGAAAAGAATCAGGCATTAATGTCACGCTGGCGCTACGTTCTTTGGGGGATGATATTTCACAAATAAAATATTGTTTAGTTGAGACCTTTGATGTAATATTCATACAGCTCCCAGCTCCATGGTTTATATTGTCACTGAGGGGATGTTTATGTGCGTCGACGTCATTTAGTTGTTGGTACAATGTGTGTCCCTGCCGACAGTTGTGTAACCCTGGATATACTCTGTGGTGGTCGATGTATAGCGTGAACAGAGGTCGCTGGTTCGGCGGACGTAAAGCTGATATATGGCTCTCTCTTGTGTATACATAAAATGTACTGTTATGAGAGTCGTCCAGGAAGCGAGCGTAAAGACATGAATCATGATATTGGAAGCGGAGACACCTATGGAATGATGAGTGAGTGAGCGAGGTTGTTATAACGTCGCTTTCACAGTATTACAGGAGCGGTGGTATAGCCTAGTGGTTAACACGTTCGCCGAAGACCTGGGTTCGATTCCCAACATGGTGTCCGACGCCTTGATATTGCTGGAAAATTGCCAATGAAGAACAGTGTCATCTCTGACTTCCACTGACCCGGTCATGTACATTTCACCGCGATATTACACTCATCATTTAAATAGGTCTAGCCACTTGATTCTGTTTCGGCGGGTAATCGAGACTGGTTTGCCTCTGACATTGTCGGTTTGTGTTTACATATGTTCATAAACCCGAAAGTTATAAGACAGACACAATCCCAGCATGGCAAAGAAGACCACTAACCTGGCCTTCGACCAACGCCTCAAAAGGCTGACTATGAACAAACATCTGAATGAGTAGACGAGTACCCAACACCTGAAAGAGAGGACCCCAACCAACACCTGAAACAGGGGACCTTAACCAACACCTGAAACAGGTGATCCTAACCAACACCTGAAACAGGGAACCCTAACCAACACCTAAAACAGGTGACCTTAACCAGCACCTGAATTAGGTGACCTTAACCAACACCTGAAACAGGGGACCCTAACCAACACCTAAAACAGGTGATCCTAACCAACACCTGAAACAGGGAACCCTAACCAACACCTAAAACAGGTGACCTTAACCAACACCTGAATTAGGTGACCTTAACCAACACCTGAAACAGGGGACCCTAACCAACACCTAAAACAGGTGACCTTAACCAACACCTGAATTAGGTGACCTTAACCAACACCTGAAACAGGGGACCCTAACCAACACCTAAAACAGGTGATCCTAACCAACACCTGAAACAGGGAACCCTAACCAACACCTAAAACAGGTGACCTTAACCAACACCTGAATTAGGTGACCTTAACCAACACCTGAAACAGGGGACCCTAACCAACACCTAAAACAGGTGATCCTAACCAACACCTGAAACAGGGAACCCTAACCAACACCTAAAACAGGTGACCTTAACCAACACCTGAATTAGGTGACCTTAACCAACACCTGAAACAGGGGACCCTAACCAACACCTAAAACAGGTGACCTTAACCAACACCTGAATTAGGTGACCTTAACCAACACCTGAAACAGGGGACCCTAACCAACACCTAAAACAGGTGATCCTAACCAACACCTGAAACAGGGAACCCTAACCAACACCTAAAACAGGTGACCTTAACCAACACCTGAATTAGGTGACCTTAACCAACACCTGAAACAGGGGACCCTAACCAACACCTGAATTAGGTGACCTTAACCAACACCTGAAACAGGGGACCCTAACCAACACCTAAAACAGGTGATCCTAACCAACACCTGAAACAGGGAACCCTAACCAACACCTAAAACAGGTGACCTTAACCAACACCTGAATTAGGTGACCTTAACCAACACCTGAAACAGGGGACCCTAACCAACACCTAAAACAGGGACCTTAACCAACACCTGAAACAGGGGACCCTAACCAACACCTGAAACAGGTGATCCTAACCAACACCTGAAACAGGGAACCCTAACCAACACCTGAAACAGGGGACCCTAACCAACACCTGAAACAGGTGACCCTAACCAACACCTGAAACAGGTGACCCTAACCAACACCTGAAACAGGGGACCCTAACCAACACCTGGAACAGGGGACCCTACCCAACACCTGAAACAGGTGACCCTAACCAACACCTGAAACAGGGGACCCTAACCAACACCTGAAACAGGGGACCCTAACCAACACCTGGAACAGGGGACCCTACCCAACACCTGAACAGGGGACCCTAACCAACACCTGAAACAGGGGACCCTAACCAACACCTGAAACAGGGGACCCTAACCAACACCTGAAACAGGGGACCCTAACCAACACCTGAAACAGGGGACCCTAACCAACACCTGAAAAGGGGGACCTTAACCAAAACTGAAACAGGGGACCCTAACCAACACCTGAAACAGGGGACCCTAACCAACACCTGTAAACAGGGGACCCTAACCAACACCTGAAACAGGGGACCCTAACCAACACCTGAAACAGGGGACCCTAACCAACACCTGAAACAGGTGACCCTAACCAACACCTGGAACAGGGACCCTAACCAACACCTGAAACAGGTGACCCTAACCAACACCTGAAACAGGGACCCTAACCAACACCTGAAACAGGGGACCCTAACAGGGTGACCCTAACCAACACCTGAAACAGGGGACCTTAACAGGGAACCCTACCAACACCTGGAACAGGGGACCCTAACCAACACCTGAAACAGGTGACCCTAACCAACACCTGAAACAGGTGACCTTAACCAACACCTGGAACAGGGGAGCCTAACCAACACCTGAAACAGGTGACCCTAACCAACACCTGAAACAGATTGCCAGACGCAGTCTTATATCTATACACGTTGGGATCTCCACAAGTAGTCCAGTACCTATATCACATTCCTCACCCATGAACGCTCATTTCACTTCAGTAATTGTCCTCCTTCTCATATATTCATTACCATATTGCAAAACCAAGCTCTGGTAGACAATATATTACAATGAAAACACTCCTGTGGACAATGATTTCTACTGTCTTTAGCTTCCGCTTTGAATCAGCCAGTCAGTTGTTTCCATAAGAGGTCATTATTGTGATTTGAAACCCTATACTCAAGAGTTATAATTAATTGTATGATGTCGTTTTTGGTATAATGTCGCTGCAGGGGTGTTGCTGTCGGTGGTGGGAACTGTGGGGGAGGATCAGGAGGACTTCCTCCTCATCCTGGATGCAGGGACCCTGCAGGAGGTGGCCAGGGTGGTGTTCCCGGGGATCCGGTTCCCCAGAGATCAACATGGCGTCTTCCGCGAGGGGCAGTAAGGGTGACTGTGTGATCTGAGGAACATGGTATCTATGGAGGTTTCAAAGGCAGAACATTCAATATCCTCATTGATTCTTGGAAATTATATCATCAAAGGCACAACAGTTAAAAACTCAATCGACTTTGGGGGGATCACGTCATCAAAGACAGAACATTCAACAACCCCCGTGAATCAACTGTGCCCTCCATATTGCATCGTGTAGGAACATGACCGGTGTTGTTCTTTTTATGATTGTGTGCGCTTGTATGCTTATGCATCTGTCAATGAATTCTTATATTCAAGTAATTTCATATATTTCATATTTACAAATGAATGCTATGCTTTACGCTGCAGTTTCACGTCAGTGTTTCGCGGTTTGAAGACACTATGCCCTAAAAGTGACATACACGTGCAGATCCGGGTTAGAATTGGTCTACAGTAACCCATGCTTGTCACAAGAGGCGACTAACGGGATCGGGTGGTCAGCCTTGGTCGACACATGTCATCGTATCCCAATTGTGTAGATCGATGCTCATGAGGTTGATCACTGGATTGTCTAGTCCAAACAGACCTCTGCCACATGGCTTGAATATTGTTGAGTATGGCGTTAAATATCAAACAAAACAAATGGTGGCATCACAAATAGGGGTGATTGCATTACGTGACGGTGCAACACAGAACACCGTGACCCCCACCACCCTAGACTAACATCTTGTCTCTGAAATAAACATGTTTTACAGAAAAACGCCGCCTTAATTATAATTAAAAATATGATGAAAAGGAGCCCAGGGATTTTCTTCATTTTCAGAAACTGTGAAACACCCCACTGACCACTACCCACCACCCCTGCCGACCCCAAGTTCCCAAGCCCCCGTCCTCCCACCCCACTGACCACTACCCACCACCCCTGCCCACCCCAAGTTCCCAAGACCCGTCCTCCCACCCCACTGACCACAACCCACCATCCCTGCCCACCCCAAGTTCCCAAGCCCCCGTCCTCCCACCCCACTGACCACAACCCACCATCCCTGCCCACCCCAAGTTCCCAAGCCCCCGCCCTCCCACCCCATGGACCCGACTCTTCGTTATTCCTAGCTAGATGAACAGACAGCACTACTATTGTACAGCTGACTGTCCTCCTCTCTCCCACCCATCCGCCGCCATCCATTACTCAGCTACCAATCTTGTGCATCATTCACCAGGATCAGTGCAGAGGCTAGTCGTGGACATTTGGCTGATGGGATATGGTCGGGTTGGTTTCAGCACGAAGTGAATTAGGTTCTGGCGCTGAGAGAAGCGGTTTGGTTGTCTATGTGTGTGGTGTTCTTGTAAAACATCATTTCAGATCCGCCGGAATAAGCGTATCACGTATGCTAGAGACGCAGGGATTAGGACCTGAGACAGGTCGATAAGAACAACGACGATTCGACAGATGGAATTGTTTAACCCTTTTTGATCATTCTTCAAGTATTCAGATGACCTATGTCATTGAGTCTCTCCGGGGTTTGGGATTAGGCACGGTAGCACTTCCTATAAGTTTATGTTATGTTCAATATTGGTTTTACATACATGTAACTTTTAATCTTACGATAGCAATAAAGCCTTGCAATGCAAATTTCAATAGTAATGCTTATATTTGGATTAAAATAGTCTTTTCCATGAAAAACCACCATAATAAATATAGAATGCCATACTGGTGCATTTTGACCTAATGTATTGAATTCAAAATGTCGTGTTCGGAAAGAAACTACTCGTTATTCCAACTCTGTGTTTAACTCTTGTGGTGACATTTTCTAGTTCAATACCTTCGGTTCAAATGCACTAGTATGACGGTCTATATATGTATTGTATTGAGTAACATACAATGCACTATGTTCTAAAATACACCTTTTCCCCAAACGAGTGAGTCAACGAATGTTTGAGTGAGTAGTTGAGTGAGTCGGTTAGTAAGAGGGTAACTAGCTGCGTGAATGCATGGGTAGTTAGTTGAATAGGTGAGCGGATAACTGAGTGAGATGCTGGATAGTTAATGGAATGAGAGTGTGTGTAGATGAGTGAGTGCGTGGATGGGTAGTCTGAGTTAGTTGAAAAATAGATTGTTGAGTGAGTTCTTGAGTGAGTGAAGTCCGAGTGAGACGTGGTGACAAAATATGGCTACCGTCAATATATCGTTGTGGAGCTGCAGACATTATACGCCCGCTTCTCCAAACAGCATCTCCCTCAGCATGGAATGAACGCATCGCGGTTGTAAGCATGGACATGTCGACTGCAGAATTTCAACCAGATGAAGCAAGGGAGCGCTATCAGTTACAGACATTACTCCATGTGATGGCGACAGCCAACCGGCTAATGCCATCACGCCGACAAGTGTTAGCATGGACAACCTGCCCATACATGTACCAGCATTAAGATTGTATTTCAGCTCTGATTAAGACAAATTAATTAATAACAACTAATAAAATATGAAAATTTTGTAAAATAGTTGTTTTAAGTTGTCATATGTTTGACTCTGTGAAACAAGTGATATTTGGCAAACATATGTCAGCTCTGATAACACAAGGTACAGAAATACAGAGACAGATGAGAGCCTATCATGAGTGAGTGAATGAGTTTATTTTAACGCCGCTTTTAGCAACAACATCACTGACTGACTGAGTTTGGTTTTACGCCGCTTTTAGCTATATTCCAGCAACATCACGGTGGGGGACACCAGAAATGGGCTTCTTACCCATGTCAGGAATCTAACCCTTGTCTGCGAACGCTTTAACCACCAGGATACCCCACCGTCCTTGATAACCAGCGTCCGTATGAAACTACTACGAACACTTAACAATCGATCTACTAAACATAACTCTGTGTATGCAAGTGTTATGACATTTTATAATACATTACCTCTAATCGCCAATATAGTGCAGCGTAAGCAGAAAGCGATAAATCACTAACCTTTGACAGTACAATGTAAGTAAACACTACTGGCTGTAATCTTAGGAACGCTGAGAATGCACTTCTGACTTCGATAACCTCTTGTCAATTGTATAAGAATTTTAAATAGTTTTGGTAGCCTTGAGTTAATGGGTTCAAACATTTTTACATTAATCATTAGGTTGTCGAAGAAATTCATTTCGAATGTATTCTTCATGTGGAAGGAGTCGATGTTTCTGTAGGAGATGATTTTGCGAACACCTGGTCTCACCACTGATTTATTCATACACATTGTACTGTTAGTTGGACTTTCACAACCACAAAATCTATTTCGGTAGATTGTTGACTGCCACAAGTACTATATTGACTTTTTCCTAACAGGTAACAGTAAATTTGCAATGCTTATTCATAAAACTAAACTCTGTGAATTAACAAAGAACCATGGAACAAATAAGTTTAACAGTGTCTATTTAAAACTTCAGTGAAATACGAAATTCAATTTAAACCAAACGACCATTTCAATGGAATATGAACCTTTTTAACAAAGGGACCAATTCAATGAAATATGAATCTGTTTAAACCAAAGGACGACTTAAATGGAATATGAATCTATTTAAATCAAAGGACCACTTCAATGAAATATGAATCTGTTTAAACCAAAGGACAACTTCAATGGAATGTGAATCTATTGAAATCAAAGGACCACTTCAATTGGAATATGAATCTATTTAAACCAAGGGACCACTTCAATGGAATGTGAATCTATTTAAATCAAAGGACCACTTCAATGAAATATGAATCTATTTAAATCAAAGGACCACTTCAATGGAATATGAATCTATTTAAACCAATGGACCACTTCAATGGAATGTGAATCTTTTTAAATCAAAGGACCACTTCAATGAAATATGAATCTGTTTAAACCAAGGGACCACTTCACTGAATGTATCGCGCGCCTTAACACAAAGGACCTCTTCAACAATTAACTATGTAATGAAAACATAGGGCAAGTCAATAAATCACTCGAGAAGTGAAAGCAAATGAACACAGCAGATAATTGATAAAGATGTGATTTCTGACTATAAATTATGTTGTACTGGAATTATGTTGTTAGTATGACAAAGTGTTTCATTCATTCACTTACTGCTGGTAGCAGTTTGACGACGACGTCCACGACACTACAGCACAGGGCCGGCATTCAGTACAGGTCAATCACTGTTTATATTGTTCATGATTCTCCAATGTTTATATTCATGGAATATGTACCTGTTTTAACAAAGGGACCACTTCAATGAATATGAATCTGTTTAAACCAAAGGACCACTTCAATGGAATATGAATCTTTTTAAATCAAAGGACCACTTCAATGAAATATGAATCTGTTTAAACCAAAGGACAACTTCAATGGAATGTGAATCTGTTTAAACCAAAGGACCACTTCAATGGAATATGAATCTATTGAAATCAAAGGACCACTTCAATTGGAATATGAATCTATTTAAACCAAAGGACCACTTCAATGGAATGTGAATCTATTTGTACCAAAGGACCACTTCAATGAAATATGAATCTATTTAAACCAAAGGACCACTTCAATGGAATATGAATCTATTTAAACAAAGGGACCACTTCAATGGAATGTGATTCTATTTAAATCAAAGGACCACTTCAATGAAATATGAATCTGTTTAAATCAAAGGACCACTTCAATGAAATATGAATCTGTTTAAACCAAAGAATCACTTCAATTGAATGTGAATCTATTTAAATCAAAGGACCACTTCAATGAAATATGAATCTGTTTAAACCATGGAACCACTTCACTGAATGTATCGCGCGCCTTAACACAAAGGACCTCTTTAATAATTAACTATGTAATGAAAACATAGGGCAAGTCAATAAATCACTCGAGAAGTGAAAGCAAATGAACACAGCAGATAATTGATAAAGATGTGATTTCTGACTATAAATTATGTTGCATTGGAATTATGTTGTGAGTATGACAAAGTGTTTCATTCATTCACTTACTGCTGGTAGCAGTTTGACGACGACGTCCACGACACTACAGCACAGGGCCGGCATTCAGTACAGGTCAATCACTGTTTATATTGTTCATGATTCTCCAATTTTTACTTCGTGTACAGGAAACACTTAAATCTGGGAGTTCAAACACAAGCTAACCCGTGAAGCTAACCCGTGAAGATCCATGCTTGTCGTAAGAAGCGACTAACGGGATCGGGTGGTCAGGCTCTCTGACTTGGTTGACACATGTCATCGTATCCCAATTGCGAAGATCAATGCTCATGCTGTTGATCACTGGATTGTCTGGTCCAGACTCGATTATTTACAGACATCCGCCATATAGCTGGAATATTGCTGAGTGCGGCGTAAAACTAAACTCACTCACTCACAAGCTTCAATCCCCAACGTTACATAGGCCAATACCCACAAGGTTGTTACCATTTAGTCCACGTCGCTCTTATGGAATACTGTAAGGGACTTTCTCGCGATCTCGCATTCTTGCGATCTCGACGTTTAGAAACAAGCTAAAAATGCCAAAAGTGCGAGAATGCGAGACCGCGAGAACGGATTCTCGCACTTTTGACATTTCTAGCTTGTTTCCAAAGTCGAGATCGCGAGAATGTCCCGTACATTATTCCATACACTCTAGAGTTAAACAATATTGGAGAAGAACGGTGACGTGTGTGGTTGCGAAAACTGCAGCTCTGCATTATTTGTTCTTGCCCAATGGCTACTTATGCAAATTTAAAATGAAATCTAGATTCAATCGATCGACAATACGCCTTTTTTCAATGGCGCCCC